GAGATTGAGCAGGCCCTTCTTTCAGTAAAACCAAAGTCCCCTTAACTACAGCTACGTACAAGTGATGTTTAATTCCATATTTTCAACTGGTGTTTTTAATGTTGAGAATCCTGTGTTTCATGAGGATATTAATAACCTTGTGTTGAAATTAACTTACTTTGTGTGTACACTGACTATTAAAATCTTTACAATTTAGCCTTTGCCAGAGGGTAATTTTACCCTGGACGCTCTATGCTTAATGAAGAGAATACAGCAAATAATGTGGTGATATGAATTACTTCTGAAGTTATTACCGCTGTACTAGGCATGAGTCTGAACTAGAACCCCAGATCTGTTCCACCTCAGACTTTGGGAATGTTCTGATCCAGAGTAGAGGTGGAGGTTCATTTTCTGTCCTTAAATGAAGCAGTATTAATTGTTCTACTGTGTTTTGAGTGCCAAATATATCTTGTGAAGTATTTTATGTTTGGACTGATGGAGTGAATGGCTGACACTAGCTATAAATACTTCTTTAGTCAGTTAACTCAAATAGTTAAAACAACAACAAAAACACATCATGTTAGGGTTCCCTCTGAACTCTGAGGTACAGATGTGGGGACCCGCATGAAAGACCCCCTAAGCTTATATTCCACCAGCTTAGGTTAAAAACTTCCCCAGAGCACAAATCCTTTCCTTGGATGGTATTGCTGCCACCACCAAGTGATTTAGACAAAGATTCAGGAAAAGGACCACTTGGAGTTCCTATTTCCCCAAAATATCCCCTCAGGCCCCATCACCCCCTTTCCTGGGGAGGCTTGAGAATAATATACCAACCAGTAGGTTAACAAAGTGAGCACAGACCAGACCCTTGGGTTTTTAGGACACTAAAAACCAATCAGGTTCTTAAAAGAAGAACTTTATTATAAAGAAAAAAGTAAAAGAAGCACCTCTGTAAAATCAGGGTGGAAGGTAATTTTACAGGGTAATAAAAAGATTTAAAACACAGAGGATTCCCCTCTAGGCTCAACTTCAAAGTTACAAAAACAGGAATAAACTTCCCTCTTAGCATAGGGAAAATTCACAAGCTAAAACAAAAGTTACTCTAACGCATTTCCTTGCTGTTACTTACAATTTCTGTAATCTTAGCTGTAGCATTTCAGTAGAAGCTGGGTTACCTGCTGGGTGTCTGTCTCTGTCTCTGTCTCTCTCTCTCTCTCTCCAGAGGGAACAAAAACAAAAAGAGCACAACATAACCTCCCTCCTCCCACCCCCAGATTTAAAAGTATCTTCTTTCCTTATTGGTCCCTTTGGTCAGGTGCCAACCAGGTTATTTGAGCTTCTTAACCCCTTACAGGTAAAGGAGGGATTTTATGCTACCCTTACCTGTATGTTTATGACACATCACAAGGGAGGTTGGATGTACATAATGTTCAATAGAACGCTACCATACATAAAAATAGAGTGGAATCCTGTTTTTTAAAAAATATGAAGCTGTGTAACTTGCATTTTGGTTGTCAGAGTCATGACTTCACCCAGATCCATGAAATGGAACTTCCTAACTCTTACATGGATAGTAGCAAAACCTCCTTTATGCAAGAACCAAGTGCATTTTAGACATTTTAATATCATCGAACTTTTAGGATTGCCAGCCCTCCAGGACTGTCCTGGAGTCTCCAGGAATTAAAGATTAATCTTTAATTAAAGTTTGTCATGTGATGAAACCTCCAGGAATACATCCAACCAAAATTAGCAACCTTACACTTCATTGAGCTTATAATTGCCTTGAACAGGCACCTCCAAAGTAGTAAAATGTTTTACCTGTAGCTGAGTGGCAGTCAAAAATGTGTAAACTGCATTTCCACTTACTGAAAATTTGAAGAAAGTGGAAAGGAAAAAATTACCAGTGTGATGCTTTACAGTTTAATTCCCATTAAAGAGTATGAAGAAAAAACATATCAGCACCAGTTGGGGAATAGCTTTTGGAAAGTAATTTTTTATTTATATAGCACAGTGATAACAGTGCAATCTTACATTTAGGGGAATTCAGTTTTAGTTAGATGCCGAATAAAAGACTGGAAAGGTGAAATGACGTATCACCTCTTATAGACAAACATAGAAGTCAAAGGCAGATGCAAGCTTTTATTTTTAATAGCAGAAAACAACTTCTCTTACATGAGACGACAGTAATTGGCATATAAACCTCAAACTTGCAGAACCATGAAAAGAACCTTCAGAACCCTGTTCCATTTTTACAAGTTTGAGGTCTCCAGCACTGGGAAGTTGCATCCAACAACACAAAGAGACACCTGACCCGCAAACTATCAGAAAGTTACTACAACACATTTGTGCCTAATTTCAGTCATTTAAAGTGTGCTTTTGGGTACAGTGTCTTTCATAGCCGATGTGGATTCTGAAAGGTCACTGTTGCCTTTATTTAAGGAGTGTCTCCAGTAAAGGGCAGTTAGGACCCTGGACTCCCCTGTGGAACCATCTCCATGGTTGCTAAAGGAGTATTATGAATCCATCTGGATTGTGGCATGGGGGATTTAGTTGAGGATTATGTCTGTCAGTGTTTGGGGGAGGGAAACGGTTTTCTGAAGCAATGGAGCAGTTGTAATTGTGCATTGGCACAGGACTGACCCTTGTCCCCCTGTATTATTGGGACTCAGTCTGAAATGACATAATTTTATAAAGCAAGCTGTTGAACTAAAAAAGTAAGCATACATTACAGCTTGCTTTAGGTTTATTCATTTTAAAAAAAAGTACTAAATACAGTATCATAGTAGTTGGCAATATTATACCTTTTACTTTCTATTTCCTGCTGTATTTTCCATGTACTAATATCGAATGCTATTCCTTCATTATTTAATTTTATTTAAACATAAGAACCTGATTTTGGTTTGAACTGATCCATGCTGTTGAGCACCTGTGACACCACAGGATATATTGAATTTGCAGATACTTCTCAGTACAAAATGACCAGGCCTAGCTGTGGGTCCCCAAGATGGTACTTGGGTACGAAGATAGAAGTTTGATATTTGCCTGAGTAAGAGCAGTTTATCTAGAAATGTTCCTCAGCCAAATTATACTGTGCAGCATTCATTAAGAGATGCCTTATAATTGTGTTTTTAATCAGAATTTCCTAGACAAAACTGTTCCTAAAGCATTGGTTGGCATACCGTGATTAGCCTACTGTGGCAATTCACTTAGTGCATTTCAATGTACTTAGCTTTTTATTTAGTTCAGGATAGACTGAAATGCCCCAGAAGTTCCAGCCAATCTAACTGTGATAATGAATTTTGAAAATATAAATCATGACTTGTAAAACACTAAAATTCAACTGAGAGGTGTTTAGATCAAATGCCTTATTAAAGTGGCTATCTTCATAGTGTTTCAGGTTTTTTTAAACTCATGATGAAAGACCTTTTAGTTGTTAGTGCTAGTTATTGAAAGTTGCAAGTTCCACTTACATGTTTAGTATAAGTTCAGTGTTTTGGTCCTTTTCCTTTTGAGTGTTACAATTACCAATATAGATGTAAACTATATTTCAGCATGGGCATAACTGGAATGGGAGAACCAAGTGATTAATTGAAATTAATTATATGTATTAAAAATTGTTTGTCTAATGAAATCACTCCATCTGTGAACTTGGTTTCCTGTCTCTCAACGCCCTAACCAGTCAATGTATAGTGTAATGTTGGGGGGAAATGTCCACAGGGTGAGACCACTTCCTTAGTGAGCATGAAATGACACCATATGTTTCATGAGTTAGGTTGGTAGTAATTAAAAAAGATCAAGTACATAAAAATATTTAGTTTTTTCTCATGGTTTTGTTTTCTTGCCCTTCCTTCTGTATTTTTCCTATGTTCCAGTTTTTCATAAATTCCAATTTAGTTTTGTCTGCATCTGGACTTCCTTACAGACCTTTTTTGTCGAGTTTCCTTTTTATTTTGGTTCCTTTCCTCTCCAATGTTTTTGTGTATTTTCAGTAGTTTTACATCTTAATTCATTGTTCAATCATCTCTTCCTGCTGCTGTGGTAAATTACTTCCTGTTTGGCTGCTTTTATTTTCCCTTCTACTCCCTGGAAAAACAAAACTTGGCCTCTTCCCTCTCTCTCTCTTACTCCATGACTCCCAGGTTATCCTTCCATCCATCTTCTTCCAATGTTCCCCTCTGGATTACTCAAGATTGCACTCTCAAGATCTCCCCCCACAACCTGCTTTAGCTTTATTTCCTTGTAAGGGTCTCTCCTGCTGTCACCTGCGCTAGTAGTGCTTCTCCTTGCTAGGATTATAAGTAACTGGAAGAATTTCTGTGCAGTGCCACTGCTTAGGAAAGGGAGAGAAAGCTGCACAAATTAGTAGAATGAGTGTTCAAGCAGAAACAATCAAATGCTAACTGCTGCCTTTCCATGCCCATGCTGCGGCTGAGCTCAGATACAGCAGAAGAATCTACAAATAGCAGTTGACATAAAGGAATCCAGGAGCCACACTCTAAAAACACTAGAATCCATAATTGCATGGAAAATCTATTCAGACAGAAATTTATTATTTATCATTTATTTTATAGTGCCCACAAGTGTACTAGGTGTTTGATCTTTGCTCAACTTAGAGTTTATTGTTATGGCTATAAATCTGACTGAGCGCCTCCATTAAAATATAAATTCCAAGGGAGGTATAATTCAGTACAAAAGCTTCTCGTGATAGCCCTAGTGGACAGAGCAAATGTTGACACAGACCATATTTTGTTGGGCTAACCTGCTTTATTGAAAACCACGTTGAAGAGCTACTACTCTACTACTACTGGGGCTGCTGGTACCTGCCATTCGATATATTTTGGCAGAAAGAGAAGGGAGAAACAAAATGAAGAGATGGAGAAGCTTGTAGGGAAACACAGTACTAGAATGTTAGTTAATATGTTATAAGTCTCTGCTGCCTTTGCCTTTGAATGGCTATGCATTTGCAAAAGATCATGTTTAATTCCTTTCTCTGCCTTTTTCCCTTTCCTCCTCTCTAACAGGGTGTGCTGCTAAAGCGAAGTGGCAAGTCATTGAATAAAGAGTGGAAGAAGAAATACGTTACGTTGTGTGACAACGGTGTACTGACCTATCATCCCAGTTTACATGTAAGTATGCCACACTCTTTGCAGTCAGCACTTGTCAGACCACAGATCAAATACTGTTAGCAGGCTCATCTGGACAGGGTTTGACAAAAATACCCTGTCTCTGGTGGAAAAAAATCCTGAAGTATGAACCTGAGGGCACACTGGAGCTAAAATTCCATAGTGTGATCACATGTACAACCTAGATAACCTTCCTTTATGCAGTTTACTAGTTGTTCAGTAGATGTAAGAGTTTATTTCGTGTTGGGCTTCTTCTAGACTTGCAGGAATGGCTGTAAATATCAGGATTTTAAGAGATGACACTTTTTGACTTGGGAAAGGTGATTTGAATGCAGTAAATAAGAATGTATTTTTTTAAGCTTTCTATAGCTTATGTGTTTCCTCGGTAGCAGTGATGGTGGCATTTAAAAAAAAAATTATCACCTTTTTAGATTTTAAATTACTGTAGAATTTTCACATACACTATTAAAATACCTTATGTGGAAGACACTATTGCACCGATCTTGCATCAAGAAGGGGTGAAAGCATGAGGCGCCTCGCCTGCCTTTAGGCCCCCCTAACACAATCCACAGTCACAATTGTCTGGGAGAACTTGGTCGCTGCACAGTGCTAGCACTCCACTCCTGTGAGCACCAGCTACCTGAAAAAAGTGTAGAAGAGTTTGCTCCATCGGTCAGAGCTGATTGGGTGGGGAGGGGAGAACATGCTGCTGCATCTCTTTGGAAGGTGGTGGAGCCAGAACTGCTTCTGCAGTGTGGGATCCCAATACACTCAGGCTCTTCCACATGCTGTCCAGCACAGGCTATGGCTGAAAACCACAATCTAGCCCTATGTTTCTGCATTCGCCAAGATCCACAGAGATGGGAGGTGTGTGTGTATTTTTGTGTTGTAGAATCACATTCCTCACTATGATCAAAGGTCCCTCAAATTTATTGTCATATAAACCCAGCATTCCAGCAGCCTCATCTCTCAAGCATTAAAGAATGTAAATCTTTTCTCTGAAGGGATGCTGCATAGTGGAAATGCTTTGGCATTCATAGATCTGCACGTTGATCCTGGTTTTGGGGGGTTAAAACTGTTGGGGCCACCTGCTGGGCTGCTTCCAGTGCTGCACCAATCAAGTCTTTCTTGACTGCATTCAGCAGAAGAGCTCTCCTGGGACTACAATCCACTGAGCACTAGTGCTTGCTCTGGCTTGGTACAAACCTTCTCAGCCTTACTTCCTACCCTCTTGGGAATGTCTTACTGTCATCTCTGATGTCACTTCCTTGACTCTTTAGAACTATTGATTTCATGACATGCATGGCAGTTAGCTGCAAGGCACTGACCCGCAACAGAATTCATATCCCAAAATCTTTGTCCACTCCAGCAGTGCTTCGTCCCCTGTTCTTCTGATCCTTTTAGAACAGCCCAACTGCATCTGCTTCTCTGGCTCTTCCATTAAATTGTGTGAGGCTGGTGTGAGAGCCTCAAAGCATTTGACCTTGAAGCAAGAGTTGAGCCTCCCTGCTGCAAGTCAAGCAAGCAATTTGCGAGCAATGCTGATACAGGGCAATCAATTCTGTTTTTTGCTGAAGGTATATCTCAGTGTACGACCACTTGCTCACCTTCCTCCCCATACATCTAAGGGTTTTATAACTTCTCATTACTTTTCCCTGGCAATTTAAGTGTTAAAGTAATATCTCCACTACCACATTGAAAGGAACCAGCCATTTGAGCATCAGGAGCAGAGAGTTTCCTCAGCAGGGGTGTCACAAGATGTCTCACTTGATCAACTGGCTTAGAATTTTAAAGCTATAGGAATTTCCACCAAGTTAGTGTGGGGTTGCACAAAGCCAATAGTAGACTCATAGACTTTAAGGTCAGAAAGGACCATTATGATCATCTAGTCTGACCTCCTGCACAACGTAGGCCACAGAATCTCACCCACCCACTCCTGTAACAAACCCTTCACCTATGTCTGAGTTATTGAAGTCCTCAAATCGTGGTTTAAAGACCTCAAGGTGCAGAGAATCCTCCAACAAGTGACCCGTGCCCCACGCTGCAGAGGAAGGCGAAAAACCTCCAGGGCCTCTGTCAATCTGCCCTGGAGGAAAATTCCTTCTCGACCCCAAATGTGGCGATCAGTTAAACCCTGACCATGTGGGCAAGACTCACTAGCCAGCACCCAGGAAAGAATTCTCTGTAGTAACTCAGATCCCACCCCATCTAACATCCCATCACAGACCATTGGGCATATTTACCTGCTAATAATCAAAGATCAATTTATTGCCAAAATTAGGCTATGCCATCATACCATACCCTCCATAAACTTATCAAGCTTAGTCTTGAAGCCAGATACGTCTTTTGCCCCCA